TGCCCCTCTGGGCCAGCTGCCACTGGGCTGTGGCTGCAAAGTTAGCCTTTGTGCAGCACTACTCCCATGTGTGCCCCCTGCCCGGCCATCTGGGTAGCTATTGCCCAGAAGATGTTCCCAATGTTGTAGCCTGCTTTGAACTGTCAAAGCATGTCCTCCTGGCTGCAATCGGCCAGGAGGTCAGCCACGTCCAGCTGGGTCCAAGGTGCCAGCTCTGAGCAGGCAGGGTCCTGCCACTGGCCTCCCTAGCAGGAATTCTGATGTTCCCTATTGGAAAACTGAAACATCCCTGATAAAAAAATCCCCAAGTCAACCTTTAAAAAACCCCAAAATCCATGTTCCTGCACAGTTAAAACAGAAGACCACTACAGAGAGACAGAGAGATTGATATATCTATAATTTTATTGATATATTTATATCTATAGATATATCTATAGTCATTTCACATTTTGTTAAGAGTGAATCCCTTACTTCTTGCCGATTAAAAACTAGCTTAATAGATGAGTGGATGAGTTTCTATATAAAATTAGAGCTAAAAGGGGAGGCAGCCTCTATTCATATATTGGCAAATAACCTTTTCTTCCCTAAGGCATCAGATTTCCCCAGCAGAACCATGTCTTCTAGAAGAAGAAATCTGGAGATGAAGTAGTCTTTATAACATATAACATCAGGGTCCAAAAATCTCTGACTCTCCACTGCTCTTGAATTGTGCTTGGCCACAGTATAAAGAAGGAAAACAGGAAGCCAGTGGAGAATCAACTATGGTAGCAACTCCGCTTCACCATGTCCCATCCCAACACACCCCTTCACATCCATGAAGGGCTACATCTCATTTGCAGAAATTCACTAGCACTTATCATGGCACAAAGAGGCTTAGCAGACCAGAGAATCAGACCTAAACTGCCTTGACTATAGCACCCATAAGCCTATGTCTGCCTGAATATCAAAGCCTTTCTTTATAAGGGATTATAAAGCAATACTGTCTCTCCACTTTTTTCAACATTGTTGTTGCTCTCTCATTCCTTGCTCAGGGAAACATTTCCACCTGACTCCTGTACAAAGCAGTCATTGACTTTAAAGGGAAGCAAAAGCAGACCCTAAACATGTAAAGCAGCTTTACAGACTAAGTTGTGTGTGTAAGCTAAAAACAGGGTACAGAGTTGTTAGAGACCCATAATGTAATGTATACCACAGATC